TTAGCATTGTAAATGTGTGGCCACGTCTGTGGTAGAAAATAATAATAATAAAAAACAAAATCCCCTCCCTAACCACTTACCCATTCACTGTATAAACGAGCTTGAGTACCAAGCCGAAAAAAGGAGTTAATAATGGCTTGACTAATTGAGATAATAGCATTAACGAGTGCAATAATTAAATCACCACCATCCCTACAACGTCTAATAACGAATTCTCACTGCAGCTCCCTTTGTCATTCTTCCCTTACTCCCCTCTCGGCCCTTTGTTTCCCCTCACTGCCCCTCTCCATCCCCTCCCCCTCTTCCCAGCCCCTGTTCGTTCCCTCACCATGACCCCCTCACTCTCCCCCTCTCTGAAGAACATGTGGAGGCATGGTTAGGGTGAATCCCCATATGGTAATTAGGGGGAGATAAGGGGCAGTCGATGGTTGGAGGGGGAAGAGCAGGGTGGCTTTTAGAGAGGGAGAGAGAGAGAGAGACGGAGAGAGGGGGAGAGATAGAGAGAGAGAGAGAGAGAGAGAGAGAGAGAGAGAGAGAGAGAGAGAGAGAGAGAGAGAGAGAGAGAGAGAGAGAGAGAGAGAGAGAGAGAGAGAGAGAGAGAGAGAGAGAGGGGGGGGAGAGAGAGAGCGCTGAAGAAACCTTATATAATTATAAGTAAGCACGTGACAGACATCTGGTAGTATAGTTTTTCTTGTTATTGCTGATGGTTACCTAATAGCTATTGATATTTAACTAATTGTTCCCTCTCTCTTACAATTTATGATTAAGTAAGTGTTCCCTTTGTTACAATTTGTGATTCCCTCTCTGTAGCTATTGATGCTTAGCTAATCAGTCTCTTGGAATTTGCAGATGAATAGCTAATCATTTCCTCTATGTATCTATTGATGATTAGCTAATAATTCTTTTTTTCTGTATTGATGAGTAGCTAATTATTCCCTCTTTGTATCTATTGATGATTAGCTAATCATTCCCACTTTATATCTATCGATGATCAGCTAATCCCTCTCTTTTTATAGTTATTGATCAGCTCATCACTGTGTAGTTGTGAAAGAACAGCTAATCCCTATAATTCAGTTATAACTTATATTTATGTGTGAGCAGCTAATCCGGAAAAATGTTGCTGCATGAAATCAACTACAGGAGGCGGTGCGGGGGAGAGATGAGAGACTTCAGAAAGACTGGATGTTTCGTCGCGTCCCCGGCGGACAGCCTTCTACCGGGAACATAAAATGTGGTCAGGTGCGGTCAACAGATGGCGTTAATGTCGTCACAAGGGGCCAGTATTTAGGTCTATTTTCTTTATGATTTATGTAAATGAACTTTCTCTTGATTTTCACTCCTTCTTCGTGTTTGCTTCGTGACGCAAAAAATCGTTAGCCTGATAGAAACATTGAAAGAAACTACTGGATGACCTGATTCAACAAATGACTATCAGAGCTAAATATAAGCAAACGCAATATGATGGAACTTGTTACTACGAACCAGTAAGCAGATCAGACAACTTTGTGTCTGATCATATTATTAGAAAAAACTTTCCCTTAATTAGAAGACGAAACATTCTGTTAAATTCAGCTTTGTAACCTTCATATATTACAGCGACAAGGAGGAAAATATGTTAGGATAATTAAGGAAAAAACGACAAACCCGTCTTAGCTGTTTCCAAACAATCTGTTAGAATAGTTTCTTAATGTACTGAATATTAGTAATTAAGTGTTGGAAATTTCCAACAACAGTTGAGAGGCGGGACCAAAGAGCCAAAGCTCAACCCCCGCAAGCACAACTGGGTGAGTACAACTAGGTGAGTATACAACTTCCGTGTGAAGCAAGAATAACCATAATGACCCAAGCACCCTACACAACAAGCCTGCAAATGCAATTAGAGTGTGTGACAATAATGCTGGCAAGATGACACACGTCTGGCCTAGCTGAGTCGAGCCAGATGCTCCTCAGACGCTGGGCTGAGGAAGGATAAGGGGCAGCAAACCTTAAATAAGGTCGATGTGTGTGTTACGAACCCTTGACCTCCATCTCTGGTGATTCAGACACCTTCTTTTGTGCTCCCTTGTGGTTGACGACTCCCATTTACATGTGGTCCCGAAGGGCGAGTTTATTGGGAAGTGTCACTCATCCTATGAGTGGACACACCGCCATAGTGACAGTATCAGGCAGTGTCACTCATCCTAAGAGTGGACACACCGCCATAGTGACAGTATCAGGCAGTGTCACTCATCCTAAGAGTGGACACACCGCCATAGTGACAGTATCGGGCACTGTCACTCATCCTATGAGTGGACGCACCGCCATAGTGACAGTATCGGGCAGTGTCACTCATCCTATGAATGGACACACCGCCATAGTGACAGTATCGGGCAGTGTCACTCATCCTATGAGTGAACATACTCTCATAGTGACAGCACTGGGAGGCGTCACTCATCCTGTGAATGAACAAGCAGCCAGGAGGGACAGTATTGGGCAGCGTCACTCATCCTATGAGTGAACATATCGCCATAGCAGCATGTACAAATATCCTAATTGAAAGAAACCCCGCTGGTTTCAAGGACGTGCCCCATGGGATGATTGGGGTACACTTTGAGATCGGAGCGTCCATTCTACAGTCATTTGGTGCTGGGTTTAAGAACGCTAGAGGATGCTTGGCTACTGCGTTCAATTTATATTGCATTTCTCTACTGAGATGAATCTAGTTGTATAACTGTTATGAGACCTGAATAGATATTATGTTAATGTACCCAAATATGTATTTTCATGTACGCACACGCACATACGCACATAGATGCGCACACAAACACACGTACACACACATGCATATTCGTATGTACATGTCCACATACACAAAAGCAATCGTGAAGAAAGCACACATGCCCATTCACCCATACGCACACACACGAAGAAAGGTTGAACGAGGTGGACAAAATGATGCGAGAAAAGCAAGGAAGAGAGGAGACATGAGAGAGACATACAAAATACTGACAGAACTAGACAGGGTGGGTAAAGAGGGAATGTTCACAATGAATACCGATAGCACAAGAATGCAAAGATGGAAACTATAACCTTAAGTGCCTTTGATTGCATCGGGGGCATTTCATGTGTTGATTCCTACTCGAGTGTACAGTTTTTTTTTATTATTATTATTTTCTACCACAGACGTGGCCACACATTTGCAATGCTAACCAACTTATATACATTTTCTTCTGTCCTCCATGGACAGGGTTAGAGAAGTGTTAAACATATAGTTCAAGGGTTTATTGAACAATCAATCTAAACAATCTAAACTAATCCGCTGGGATTAGTTCCAGTGGCATAGTGACCACCACTGGGATTAGTTCCAGTGGTATAGTGATCACCACTGGGATTAGTTCCAGTGGTATAGTGATCACCACTGGGATTAGTTCCAGTGGTATAGTGATCACCACTGGGATTAGTTCCAGTGGTATAGTGACCCACCACTGGGATTGTTCCAGTGGTATAGTGATCACCACTGGGATTAGTTCCAGTGGTATAGTGACCACCACTGGGATTAGTTCCAGTGGTATAGTGATCACCACTGGGATTAGTTCCAGTGGTATAGTGACCACCACTGGGGGTTAGTCCTGTTAGCAATGTAGTCGTTGCAGGTAGTTAAAGCAGCCTCACATAGGTGAGTGCTTTACACAGATGAGGTGAGAGATGAGACACAGATGAGCCACAGAGATGAGAAAAAAATTTGGTTTAGAATAACAGGAAAAAGAGCTGACTAGAGTATAAGTAATAAATCTAAGTCATCCGCAGTTTCGAAAGCAGATATATTAGGGGAAACACTATAGATTGGGAGGTAGTGCATTTTTGTTTAATCACAGACGTAGCCACACATTTAAAGTGCATTAGACGACTGCATTGGCTGAGAAGGTTACGGCCAAGAGCTTAAGCTCGATAATCCAAACAGAAATAAGAGAGCACACACAAACGCACACATTTTACCTATTTGTTTGTGAACGCTGTTTACAAACAAGTAGGTCAGACGAACACGTTTGACCTAAGTAGATGAAGAAGGAGGATGTTTGGGGGCTGTCGTTTTGTACTGGGATTTACCAAACGTGTTTTAAATATATACAATTTTCTGAGGTTCTCAAACAAATACAAGAGTGGAGACAACAGGAGGCCGGATACAACAAGGAATGGTTTACATCACAATTAATTTCTTCTCCATTGCGCACATAAATAAAAAAAAAAAGGTCAGCACAGTACTGTTCGTTGTCGACTTAAAACGGTAACAGTCTTTTAAAAACTTAAAATCTAGGTACCTAAGGCTTAAAACTTAAGGCAGGACCGAAACGATTGGGAACATTTCCTTCCATGTACTGCATCTATTCATGAAGCAATAAATAGGTACTAGGAAGCTAATTGTGTCGTGGATTTCCTCCTGGGAAGGGTTGGTAGGTGTACGCTGGACGCCTTGATAACTCCAAGTTCAAGATTACTGTAACTAACGGCGGGAACTACAGCAAGGCTGACCAACGTAACAAATGAGAGAGAGAGAAAGAGAGAGAGAGAGAGAGAGAGAGAGAGAGAGAGAGAGAGAGAGAGAGAGAGAGAGAGAGAGAGAGAGAGAGAGAGAGAGAGAGAGAGAGAGAGAGAGAGAGAGAGAGAGAGAGAGAGAGAGAGAGAGAGAGAGAGCGAGAGCGAGAGCTAGAGCGAGAGCTAGAGCGAGAGCAAGAGAGAGAGAGAGAGAGAGAGTGAGTACTGCCAGCAGGAAGCAGATACGACTATATAAACAGTGTGAGGTTGTTGTTGTTAGGGAGATCAGTCCTGGAGCCACGTGAGGCTCTGGTATTGACCATCTACGGTGCGGGGGCGGAGGGGAGGAGTGAGGGGGCCGGTGAGGGGTGTGGGGGGGCGGTGAGGGGGAGAGCGAGGGGGAGAGTGTAAGGTGAGGTGATGGGGTAGGGTGGGGGAGATGTAGATGGAATAGGAAATGCAGAGGCTTCAAAATAGCCCTCTGTTAGCTGGAGAGAAATTCGAGACGTCGTGCCACCCACGCGAGACGCCCTGCCACTCACGCGAGACGCTGTGCCACCCACGCGAGACGCCCTGCCACCCACGCGAGACGCCCTGCCACCCACGCGAGGCGCCGTGCCACCCACGCGAGACGCCCTGCCACCCACGCGAGACGCCCTGCCACCCACGCGAGACGCCCTGCCACCCACGCGAGACGCCGTGCCACCCACGCGAGACGCCCCCTGCCACCCACGCGAGACGCTCTGTCCACCCACGCGAGACGCCGTGCCACCCACGCGAGACGCCCTGCCACCCACGCGAGACGCCCTGCCACCCACGCGAGACGCCCTGCCACCCACGCGAGACGCCGTGCCACCCACGCGAGACGCCGTGCCACCCACGCGAGACGCCCTGCCACCCACGCGAGACGCCGTGCCACCCACGCGAGACGCCCTGCCACCCACGCGAGACGCCGTGCCACCCACGCGAGACGCCCTGCCACCCACGCGAGACGCCGTGCCACCCACGCGAGACGCCCTGCCACCCACGCGAGACGCCGTGCCACCCACGCGAGACGCCGTGCACCCACGCGAGACGCCGTGCCACCCACGCGAGACGCCGTGCCACCCACGCGAGACGCCGTGCCACCCACGCGAGACGCCGTGCCACCCACGCGAGACGCCTGCCACCCACGCGAGACGCCGTGCCACCCACGCGAGACGCCCTGCCACCCACGCGAGACGCCCTGCCACCCACGCGAGACGCCGTGCCACCCCGCGAGACGCCCTGCCACCCACGCGAGACGCCGTGCCACCCACGCGAGACGCCCTGCCACCCACGCGAGACGCCGTGCCACCCACGCGAGACGCCGTGCCACCCACGCGAGACGCCGTGCCACCCACGCGAGACGCCGTGCCACCCACGCGAGACACCGTGCCACCCACGCGAGACGCCGTGCCACCCATGCGAGACGCCCTGCCACCCACGCGAGACGCCGTGCCACCCACGCGAGACGCCCTGCCACCCACGCGAGACGCCGTGCCACCCACGCGAGACGCCCTGCCACCCACGCGAGACGCCGTGCCACCCACGCGAGACGCCCTGCCACCCACGCGAGACGCCGTGCCACCCACGCGAGACGCCCTGCCACCCACGCGAGACGCCGTGCACCCACGCGAGACGCCGTGCCACCCACGCGAGAACGCCGTGCCACCCACGCGAGACGCCGTGCCACCCACGCGAGACGCCGTGCCACCCACGCGAGACGCCGTGCCACCCACGCGAGACGCCCTGCCACCCACGCGAGACGCCGTGCCACCCACGCGAGACGCCCTGCCACCCACGCGAGACGCCCTGCCACCCACGCGAGACGCCGTGCCACCCACGCGAGACGCCCTGCCACCCACGCGAGACGCCGTGCCACCCACGCGAGACGCCCTGCCACCCACGCGAGACGCCGTGCCACCCACGCGAGACGCCGTGCCACCCACGCGAGACGCCGTGCCACCCACGCCGAGACGCCGTGCCACCCACGCGAGACACCGTGGCCACCCACGCGAGACGCCGTGCCACCCATGCGAGACGCCCTGCCACCCACGCGAGACGCCGTGCCACCCACGCCGAGACGCCCTGCCACCCACGCGAGACCCGTGCCACCCACGCGAGACGCCCTGCCACCCACGCGAGACGCTCTGCCCACCCACGCGAGACGCCGTGCCACCCACGCGAGAC